GAAGCTCGCAGGTGGTTATGGCGGTGGAGGTGCGTCATGTGGTCCTGGCGGTGGTGGTGGGGCTGGTTATTACGGTACGTTTTCGTCGCTCTTATCGGAAATCACATCCAAATCGCTCGTGTTCAATCAATTCATTGATGCTGAACTGATTCAGTAAATGTTCTGGAATGAGACTGATGAATCGAATCGTTTAATGTAAAAAAAAAAATTAGTTCATTGTCATTATCATTCCCTTATTGAAGGTGGCGAAGGTGGCCGAAAATACCATGGCGCTGGCGGACGAAGTTTCTCGGCGAGCAAAGAATCTTTTATTGATGCAGGTATGTTTTGCGCTTGTTCAAATCGGCCAATAAGAAAGCATGAAGTTGGAAAAAAACCCCATAAGGGTGTGAAATCGCTTGTTTGTGCCAATTGCCTTGTTGTCTTCAATTAACACTATGAAGTATCTACTGATCAAGTATATTTTAAGCCATCTGACTAATTAAGTATTATCATAAATATCAGTTTGTTTATCTGTTCTTAGCAACATCCTGAACCCCAAGAAGCACTCGTTTGATAACTCGTTTCAGGAGTTAACGTAGGCGATGGTTACGTGTTGATATATCCGTGTCGTCTGAAATGCTCTCAGAACGCCACGTGTAGATTCAAAATGAAGAACGCTGAGGACGTGCAACCGTTCTGTTCATGCGCAAACGGTCGTGAAGTTGGTGAAGGCGAAGACTGTGTCTGGGGTGAGCATATCTTATCAAATGAGTCTTCATTTACAATACATTCAAATAGAGACCACTAACCCAGCACCAATGAAACGGAATTGTGAACTGATTCACCAAAATGAATGGTGAATACAAAAAGTTTCCCTCGAATAGCATTCGTTGGCCATACGGTAAGGAGGAAGATGACAGTAACAAAAAGTAATAGCTAGATATTCGTTAGCTTATTCGAATTCAACACAATCATTGAGTCGGCAACGAAAAAACTCACGCGATGGTCACCGGAATGCTACAGTAGTGATCAGCATTTGATCAATAGCGATACATCGCATTGAAATGAAAATATTTCTATATTTTTTTCATATATTTTTCTGCATTCAGAAAAGTATATATTTCGTCGGGCGATTTTGCTTATTTGAGAAAGTATAGCTATTTTATTAAGGCTATCTCAACCAGCGCTGAGGTGCTCATTGAAATGCATTTGATCACTATAGATCAATGCATATTATACATTAGTATAGAAATAT